GCCATCCTCTCAGTCCCCACTGATGACAACAGGCACTGAAAGTGTTCAATCCTTCCAGCAGAGTCCCTCATAAAAGACAAATTTGAGCAGTGATGTTGTCTGCATTTCCACAGCATCTTCCATCCAGGTCTTTCCCAGTGCACTGAAGCTAAGAGCACCCTGGCTAAGCATTAACACCCCTAGGAAAGTGTGATCAGTGTGAGCTGATGATAAGGCTAGATGCTTTTGTACACATTTTGCAAACAGAGGCATAGTAAGTAACCTGCTGATGGTCACGTAGCCAGCAAGGGAGAGCGCACTGGAATTTGAATGTTTTCTTGCACCCCTGGACAGCACTGAATTGTTGCTTGCAACCTGCTTGAGTCATTAAACCATGCTCCATCCCCAAATGCACAAAGGATCTCCTAGAGGAGAGGCTTTGACTTACTCTATAACAAAGCCCAGGCAGGACTTGTAGCAGGCTTCTAAAGCAAACAAATGTTTCCTTCCTACAGCTCTTTAATGATTTACTGCTGAGAGCTGATATTATCCCTGCTCAGTGAATGTGAAGAATCTGCCCTATTGTTCAAGCACCAAGCAGAAATACAGGACTTTAGGTCCTGCACCATTCAGCAATCAAACAGCAGTGCAGGTTCCCGTGTGGATAAGATCAAATTCTCAGTTGCATTTTCAGATCCAGTGGGTACAAAGCCCAGGACACCCACTGCTGCAGGGGCCTGTCTTCACTAGGAGAACTCAGTGGGAAAGCAGATGATGGTGGCCCCTGGGCAGGAAGGGGGTGGCACTTTGTACGGGGTGTAGCAGGAGAGTCAAGGTAGGGTGGGCCTGGGGTTATTGCATGGTAAGCTGAGCTGGGTAGCGGCAGGGTAATGAACATCATATTCTAGTGGAAGCAGGCTGGCATCCCTGTGCTGTACAGTGATGCAGCTGCATGCTGTGTCGTGGGCAGGGGAAGGGGGGCAGACTTGGTGTTAGCATGTTAAAGAGAGGCAGCGTGCTGAGCTCTGTGGCAGGGTGCCACACTATGATTGGGGGAGTAGGTGACAAAAGGCGACAGCATGCTGTGCACTGTGTGGCACCTCTATGCAGCCTGGTCACTGCTCCAGCAGATCATGGATATGGGAAACATGAGGTGGTGTGCTGCAATATGGGCACAGCGATCTGGGTATGGAACAATGCAGCAAGGCAACACACGCAGCCCCAGGTGGCTGAGTGGCACACTGTACTCTGTCATACACTGCTGTGCATGACAGTAAAGCAACGTGTGTTGTGAGTACAGACCAACAAAGTGAGGCAACAGCAGTAGGGGCTGGGCTGCCACAAACACTTAGCAGAACAGCACTATCTTTCCACTGGTCTGAGCACCTCAAGCTCCATCAAAATTCATCAGCTGCAGTGAGATTACGCACACGAGACTCTGGGGGAGATCAGCCAGCCTGTCTGTGAGAAACAAGAAGCTAGTTGCAGCCATCTTCTAGCCTCTCAGCCAAGGCTGTGTGGAGCATTCAGCATAGACTTTCTTACTAGGCAGGTCCCTTTTGATATAAGAAAAAGCACCTAGCACTGGTATAATACCTTTCATACGGGACTACAGAGTGCTTGAATGAAGTCTCTCAATGCTCCAGGAAGCAAGGAAGCACTTTTATCCCTATGCTATGGGTGGGGAAGCCAAGATACAGAGAGGTGAAGTGACTTGAACAAGGTCACATGGCAAGTCAGTGAGAGAGCCAGGAACAGAACTGAGGGCTCTTAGCTGTCAGTCTCCTGCTCTAATCGCTTGATTGCATTTTTTCAGAAGGTAAGAATATTAAATATTTAGTTCCCAGTTATTGCTATTAAAGCAGTGGTCACAGCTCCAGGGTTGAGGCAGAGTTGGATCTGGTACATAGGAAGGATTCAGCCCTTCTGAGATCCCCATGTCAGGATTCTGCCTCTCAGTGAATAGCCTCAAGCCTTAACATGGGCTGCTAACATCAGGAAGGGGAGACAAAGACCTTGCTTCATACTGTGCCATTTTCACCATCCAAGCCCTAGAAAGTGAGACTGAGGCTGTCACAGATCCAAGGGGCAGGCTGTGCCCCCAATTCTGTACAATTATTCTGGGAGCACACTTTGTTCATGCTTGACCCTAGGCCTGGACTCTTTACAGGGGTGAGCCCGTTGCTCTGTTATTGTGAAGCT